GGGAGCTAGGGGCCAGTTCCCTAGGAGATGAGTCTTTTCCTGGTGTTGGGCTTGTGTGGTGGACAACTTTCATTCATAGCATGGCACTTCTGTCCGGAATCCTAATTCCTAGGGTCTTAGTTAAAGTGCTGTCATATAAAAAACTTCAGAGTTTCAGAAAAAGTGAGAAAATGTCAAAGAAAGAAAAGGGATAAATGCATGCTTTGCAAATAAGGACATACAATTAAAAATATAGGATTCTGGGTGTGGCGGTGGCGGTGTTGGCGGCGGCTGCAGCAAAGTGTTTGGTGCGATGTCTCACACCATTTTGCTGGTACAGCCTACCAAGAGGCCAGAAGGCAGAACTTATGCAGACTATGAATCTGTGAATGAATGCATGGAAGGCGTTTGTAAAATGTATGAAGAACATCTGAAGAGAATGAATCCCAACAGTCCCTCCATCACGTATGATATGTCAGTTGTTTGATTTTATCGATGATCTGGCAGATCTCAGCTGTCTTGTTTACTGAGCTGATACCCAGACATACCAGCCTTACAACAAAGACTGGATCAAAGAGAAGATCTACGTGCTCCTGCGTCAGCAGGCCCAACAGGCTGGGAAATAATTGTGCTGGAAGCATTAGGGGCTGGAGGTGGGCTTGGAACAGGTGTGTACAGCATGCTGTAGTGAAAGTTTTGTATTATAGTAATCCTGTTTCCATTTTGTTACATTCTAGCCAAGATTGAATGTGTCACAGGAAACATGGGGGGGCTTTTCAATCTCAAACCTCCATTGTTCTCTCTTTTTTTACTTACACATTTTTATGATGATTCAGATAGAAATTGTTCTTTGTCAGTTAAAGTTGGTTCTGGTCCTTGAAACTGTTCATATCTGCTTTGTTACATCAACAGTACTAACCCTTCAAGGTGGGGTGGGGGGTGGTGACTCAGTTTTGTTATGTCCTCTGGGTAAAGTCTAATGAAGAATAAATAAATGTTCTTTAGTTAAAAAAAATATAGGATTCTGTTAAAATTGGTTAAGAATTTACTTTGAGACAGTGTTTAACAACTTTATGTTTTAAGTATGAATTTATTGCTACCACATTTTAAAAGAATTCATTTGAGTAAAATCTCCTATATAAAAATAAGTATGTAAAATCTAAACAGAAAAGCTGTATTTGTTAAAGTTTATGAAAATATTGTTCATTAAATTACTTATTTCAGTTTTTTACATATGGTGAGTTCTTCTAGTATTTAAAAAATATTTGGGAGACTGGAGAGATGACTTGGCTGTAAAGAACAGTAACTACACTCTCAGAGGACCCGAGTTTGGTTCCCAGCACATACATTAGGTAACTCACAACCACGTGTAACTCCAGCTCAATGGAATCTGACACCCTCTTCTGGCCTCCATGGGCACCTGCACTCATGTGCATATACCCACACTCATACACATATGCATACATATACATTAAAAAAACTTTAAAATATATGTTTAATGACTTTTTTATCTTCAGCTCTGAGATAAATTATATTATTTAGAAAATACTCCTGACATTTGAAGGATGCCTGATATATTTGTTGTATGATTTTCTATTTATTGCACAAAGGAATTTCTGTGCTACTGGGAAGACTGAACAATGTCTTTAATTATTCATAAGCTTCCCTTCCATAATAGAAGTTAACATTGATGAAAAATGACGTGGTTTTCACATTAGCATTTTTTTTTAATTTCAGAAGTTATATATCTATAACCATTATCCAATACTCAGGCTAAATGATTAATTATACTGTTATTATAAGAATAAAATCATAAATAACTTTCAGAAAGAAGATATTTCCTTTCCTCTTATTTCTGTATACCTAGAAAAATATGGTGCTGAGAAAATACTCTAATGAAAATGAAATCTTTTTTGCAAACATTATTTGTATTATGATAAATATCATCAAAGATTTAAGGCCTAGAGAATTATGAGAGTTGTTGTCTCAAAATCAGATATAAGTAAACCTGTAAACTAAAAGATGTTTTTTAGACTCACTTGATTGTATATCAAATAAGGTAATAATGCAAAAATTAATGCAGAAAGCAGAGAGCTTTCCAGATGCCTACTGTCTAGTGTTTAGATTTCTATTAGCTTGAATCCTTTCCTCCTGTCCATATCAACACTGGGCATCCTTCTATGTATGAAGCATCTGCCTCGTACATACACTGAGCTGGTCAGTTATGGACTGCTCAGAAAATGAGCTCAGTAAGTGAACTTGTATGTCCATATCTTTCTGATATTTCTATTTCCTGGGGTGATAACTTAAGTTACTATCAGAAGCTCTGCTCTGTGATAATTCTTTTAAGTATTTGAAGATTGAGAAATTATGCCTAATCCCTTCAGTCAAACATTAGGAACTTAGTACACTGGCCCACCATATTATGTGTTAAGCCATAGGAGTTTGTCAATGTTCAAGTCGTTTTTAAGAAAAATATTTTATGTATTATTTTTTATTTTATGTGTATGGGTGTTTTGCCTGCATGTATGTAAGTACACCATGTGTCTGCATTGCCTGCAGAGGCCAGAGGAGGGTGTTGGATATTCTGGAACTGGAGGTTGTTAGCCACTATGTGGGTGCTGGGACTTGAACACAGGTTCTCTGGAAGAACAGCAAGTATTCCTAACTGCTGAACCATCTCTGCAGCCCAAGTAGTTTTGATTTAAGATAATAATGCTTTTGTGTGACTTAGACTAAGATTTCATCTCTGAGTCCTCTTCTAACAGTGGACCATGTGCCAAAATAGACAGGACCAAAGTTGGGTTATAACAGATGAGTTGAAAGAAGATGTGCCTCTTAGTGATTTTATTGGGCTATAGGTTGGTAAGCTACCACAGTAATAGTTGTTATGAATATACTCTGTTTCATGATACAGTCTTGTTGAATCCTGGTCTTCTGTTTTGGCTGCCTGTTGGCTAAACTGTAAACCTCATCCCAGTCCAGACAAGCTCTTTCATAGCCGCCCCCCCCCCCCCCCCCGATTTGAGGACGGGAAGGGATCTTGGTCTCATACAGATTTTTAATCAGAAGCTGGTAGCTGGAAGGAGAGGACTGAGCAGAATGCATTCTGCAGCAGGTCACATCTGTCAGAGGTATCCACACTGGTCCATGGCAGCTGGCTGCAGTGCCTGTCTTTTGTATGTTGTTCATAGCTTTGGTGGGGCCAATTGTGTCACCCAGTGGTCAGGGGATGAGAGGTATCTTCACTTTATTGAGCTCCACAGAAGTTGGGGCATATTCTTGGGCTCACAGTTTTGAAGCAGACTCTCTGGTCTTCTAGAGCTCTTATGTGAATATCTTTCCTGTCTACTACTTGGCCAAAGTTGCAGCCACTGTTTTCTGAGCATTTTAGTGGTCTGTTGCATACTCTTTAGTACTGTTGAAAAAAGAAGAAAAGCCATTTGATGGTAGTGACAAGCAATAGTGTTTTTGGACATCCCCTAAACTTATATTCCATGATCAAAATGTCACAGTCAGCATATATTGGCATTTAGTAAGCATTTAAAAAGAGAATACCACAATAAGATTTTCAACATATAGCAGGATAACATTTTGAGAGCGTGACTTAGTGTTTCTCCTTATGTTTCCTGTGTTGCTTCTTTTGTGTCCTCTCTCCCAGGCAGTGATCCTCATGAGAAAACAATAGGAAAGCAGAGAAATACTTTGGGGTTCTGACAGCTTATCATGATGATCAGGCTTTTTTTTTTTTTTTTTCTGCACCTGATGTTAGAGAAAATGTAGATTTAGTCAGAGGCCAAGCAAAATTGTGAGTTCTTCGCTGCCATCTTGTGAATGAAACAGCAGAAAACCAGAAGCCTTTGAGTGACCTGTGCTTTGTGGAGATGTGTCCTGAGATAACAAAGCCAGAATTCCCTGCACTGCCAGCAAAGACAGAAAGAGAGAATGATGTAATATCTTGTTCCAGGCAGCCCCATAATGTTCTGCCCCTCCACCTTAATCTATGACACTTTGCTCTGTCTTTGTGTTGAAGAATAGCAAGGAGGTAGTGAAGGGCTTTAGATAGCCCCATTGCTGCCTGCCCTGCTCTGCCAGGAGGGAAAGTTACAGAAATCCCTTGTGTATGAGAACATGGGAGGACCTACATGCAGAAATCAGGCTTGGTACACGACTCAGGAGATGCCACACGGTGACCCAGTTGCTTTCTTCCCAAACTCCTACCCAACACATTACAACAGTCTACGAATTGCTTTCTCCACAAAAATAACAGTCCAGGGAAGAGTACGACTCTTGGAATTGCCTGAAATTTCAAAATGTTTACTCTAATTAAAATATAGATAAGTAAAGGTGATTTTTCTCACATATAAATTTACCTTGCTGAGTCTTCTACCCCCAATTTCTCCATTATACTTAGAATAAAATCCAAAAACTGTAGGCCCCAGTTAGAATTATGTCTTTAGTGAATGCATTTGTGTATTTTTTTAAATACAAAGGTAATGTTCAGGTATTTCAGTTTGAAACCCTGCTATTCTCTCTGTATCCACATTCTTTTATTATTTTCATGTGGACTGTCTTTACAGCAAAATCCTTTACCTTCTTAAGAAGGGAATGCTATCTCTACATTTGTGTATCTATTTTAAGTTTCATTTATTAGGGAGGGTCCTTTACTTCATCTTGTTCAGAAGTTTCAGAGATGAAAGGTAATATACCAGCTAAAGCTTTCATAAGGGAACCACTGGGATGTTCTGTGAAAAGCAACATAATGCCAGAAAAGTTATTTTATTTATTAGATAATCTTTCCAAGTGAGTGTTTTTATGTACTTTATTGCACGCTTGAAATCACTGGATTTAACTGTCATAATGTTTTGTTAATAGCACGTATATTTCTTTCTCTGCCTCTTAAAAAAATACCAAATAGGTATGATCTTCATTATAACATAATCTGTTATCTTTTGAACTGGCCTCCTTATAATTAAAGATGTGTTACAACAGCATTTTTGTGGTTTTTTGGTTTTTTTTAGAGATGGCAAAAAAAACATTTCAAGAAAAAGGCATCTTGGCAGGAGACAGCAGAGGATTTAAGCCTCACTTGACCTTTATGAAATTGTCAAAAGCGCCAGCGCTCCGGAAGATTGTGAGTGTGCATTTGTATCCTTGGTCTCCTTTTACTGGGGCACACGGGCCTTCAGCGTGGTCGGGGGCATGAATAACTTTTTGTGCTCTTTAGCGCCCTACCATTCCTGTTACCGGGATTCTGGGAACAAGTCTAAGGATGCTGAAGGTCTTAGCATTCCCCTGGAGGCTATTAGAGTTGGTCTCTGTGGCTGTTAGGTACACACCCTGCCATCCCTGATTGCTACTGCTTCTATTGCAACGTGTTCATCTTGGGAGGAGCCTCTAGGCAGCGCGAGTTCAATTGTGCTGCTTTCTTGCTGAGGGTTTTGGCGTCCTTCAGCTGGCATGGCTTCCTGTGCTGTCTGCATTCACGTGGCTGCTCACTGACACTGGCCTATTGAAGCCCAAGCTCTGCTTTCTTGCTGAGGGTTTTGGCGTCCTTCAGCTGGCATGGCTTCCTGTGTGTCTGCATTCACGTGGCTGCTCACTGACACTGGCCTATTGAAGCCCAAGCCTGGGGAAGCTTTTGTACTCTACCTTTCGTAGGTCTTTTAAAGATTCCAAGAGACAACTTGACCTTTCAGCAGTTGCCTCTACTGAGGGCTTGGAGTAGGAGTACTGTGTACCCGACCCGAAGGTATCCGTGGAACCCTCCCTACCTGAGGTTCTTAAAATGTGTTTCTCTCCAAGGATGAGCAGCAGTGACAACCAAATGACGTTAGCTCTTGGGGATTTTCTGCCTTAAGGCCACTCCCACTTACAGAGGTTGGAGCAGCTTTTGGTTTTCTTCTAGATTCATGAGCATTTCTCCTGGAGTCCTAAGGGCACCGTTCCTTGATTTTTCCCAATGCAGCCCAGGGGCTTTTTATGCAAATTAAAAGCCTCTTATATCAGAATTTCTGAGCTGGGCATGCAGATTAGTATGCACTCCCTGCTTTCCATTCCCCTCTACTGCAGTTAAGACTCCTTTACAGCTCTATAAATGAAGGTCATGCTTATTAATAAGCAGAACTTTTAAAATAAATTTAGCATGTTCTATTCTCAGAAAGTCTTTTTTATTCTTTAAAACATGGGTTTGGGTGATTCACCATCCTGTACTGATGAGCTTTCAGCAAACTATTGTTAATGCACTTAAAAAAGATAACTTGCATGCGATTTTTTTGATAACTGTGCTACAAAATCACTAATCTCTATATGGTATGATTCCAGAGTATGTTAGGTAGAATGATTTTTATAAGTGTTTGATTTTAAAGTCTGGAATAACAACTTGCAAAGCTTGTAGACTGACAGTTCACTTCTTCAATCATTATCTTTCTTGTTTTGCTGTCAATGGATTGTCTTCTTCCAAGTGGTTTCACACTTAATCACAGAGTGACAAATCATTGGTGAAGGTAATACCCCCATTTCAAAATGTTGCTTTGTTTTTACAGTATTAATTTTTAAGATAAGAGCGCTCAGTGACATTTACCAAAGGAATGTCTTAAATGCTTTAGGATCTATATTTCAACATCTCAGACTGTATTTATGTGATTTCTTGGCAGTTTCACAGAATTAACTCCCTTACCCTACAGAAAAGGAATGTGAGACTTAGGAAGTTTAACTGCTGTAAATGAGGCCATACTCTTATCTCTGCATCTGAGAATCCATTTGTCTCATTCTCAGCCTCATGTTCTTCCCTCCCACTGGCCAATGCCAGTTCACCCAAATTCATTTATATGGATGTAGAGCGTCTCATTACGAATCATAATCTGTTGCATGCCAGGGACTGGTTGCTTAGACCTAGAGTGGTGCTTAAATAGACAATTTCAGTTTGAATAATGTATGAAATAATTAAATTATATTCTATTTAGATTAGAAGCCTTAATCTATAAAGAACAAATGCTAGTCCCTCCCTTCCCCATGGGGGAGTCATTCTAAGGTCTCTCAGTGGATGCCTCAAATCACAGATAGTATGATGGCTACATATGCTGGTTTTCCTACATGTATGTACACTTTTTCACTTAAAGAAGCACTTTACTATTTCTTTTCAGCATATTCAAATGCCAGCATCAGTATTCTGTACTTTGGGGTCATTATTAAGTTAAAGTAAGAGTTACTTGAATATGAGCACTGTGATACCAAGACAGTTGATCTGATAAGTGAGATGGTTGCTAAGTGGCTGATGGGAGGATCCTGTATACAGTGTGGATATATTGCCAAAAAGAATGATTTGGGTGGGGAAGGATAGCACAAGATTTCATCATCTACTCAGAACAGTGCACAGTTTAAAACCTGTGCATTATCTATTTCTGGAATTACTCCACTGGATTCCAGCTCCAGCTCTCTTATTTTTTATTTTGAGATAGGATATGGCCTTGAACTCATGATCTCCTCCTTTAGTTTCCCAAGTAGCTGAGACTATAGGTCTGCACCACCAGGCCAACTATTTCTGGAATTTTCTATGCAATATTTTGAAACTGTGGTTGACCATAGATAACTGAAAACTCATAAAAGATGGGTACCTGGTTGCCTCTATGGTACCCATCCACACTGTGGGTGGATCTTCCCACCTGAAGTGACCCACGTGCTGATTTCCTCTGGAAACACCCCTATTAGATACACTGAAAAATAATGAAATAATCCATCACCATCTTTCTAGGCATGCTTTAATCAAGTTGAACCTGAAATTAACTTTCTAGGCCAAATCATTAATTTTTAGTGTTAAGTTGATAGTAAAGTAAAAGAGGGAGAGAAATAAAATAATAGTTTCTTTTCCCTACTTAAATGTTGAATAAGAATTACAAGTATTTTATCTTTTATATTACAGTTAAAATAACTTTTAAAATAAAACAGAATCTGCTGTTCTTCCAGAGGCCCTGGTTCGGTTCCCAGCACCCACATAGTAGCTGACAACCATCCTTAACTCTAGTTCCAGAGGAACCAACTTCCTCATCTGGCCTCCATAGGCATTGCATGCATGTGATACACTTACATACATGTAGGCAAAACACTCATACACATAAAATAAATATATAAAAAAGTTCTTTATGTGTATAGATGGTCACTGAAACATTAGCAATGCTAGAGAAAAATTAGAAATAACTTCTACAGTAGAGGAGTGTTTACTTTTAAGTCAACTGTGGTAAAGCATATCAATGGTTTAAGAATTTATTAAAATATATAATTATAAGGACTTTGTAATATGCTAAAAAGTAAATGAAATGTAGGATATATGCTATAATTAAAGTTCTATAAAAGTAATTTGGGAGGATGCTTTGCATAATGCCTTAATATGTGTTTCAGCGTATTTCAGAAGTAAAAAATGGGTTTCCCAATATGTTCTTTTAGCTCGTGTTTTTTCTGATAGACTAGTGAATGGAGCTTACCTTAACATCCCTTAGAATTCCCCATGGCATGCCAAGAATTCCTGTCTTGGTTGTTGGGTTTTTCTGGATTCTGAGGAAGGATGGGCTTGGTGAGCTGAGTTTAGTAAGAGATGATGTGATGATGAACCTGTGATGATGAACAGGTTAGAGGTCCATGGTAAGCGCTGGCTTCAGAGAACCTGCAGCTATTCATCACCCTAGAGGATGCTCCTTTAGTGTCTGTGAGAAACCAATGAAGCATTATCATTTTTAAAAATTATTTTTATTACCTTTATTTTGTGTGTGTATGTATGTGTGTGGGTGGGCACATGTCATGGCACACATGTGGAGGTCAGAGGACAACTTATGGGAGCCCCTTCTCTCCTTCCACCCTGTGGATTCCTGACTCAAGCCATTAGGATTGATAGCAAGTGGCCTTTTTATCTTCGGACCCATCTTGCTGGCCTATATCCTGTACATTTTAATTTGACCTGCTAGAAAGACATCTAGAAATAATTTTGGGTATGGTACTGAAGCTTCCCATGATACTGGTGGCACTCTTGTTGGGATATGATAATTGTTGCTTTAAAAAGTGGTGTGCTAGGCAGAGAAGTGCTGTGGACTAGCAGAGGCAAATTCTAGGACAGGAGAGACACTTCACCCATTATTGCCTGTAGGCAATGTAATTTGGTGGTTGTTCCTCAACAGTGTTTTTTTTTTTTCCTTTCATTTAGTCATTGCCAATTTTTAATGATCCAGAAAGCTATTATGCTAAATTTAAAAAAATAGAAAATTGGAGCCACAATCATTAAAAATCTCTATGATTGATTTATTTTTATTTTATGTGTATATATGTTGCCTACAAGTGCACCCATGTGTGCCATGCCCATAGAGGCCAGAAAGGAGCATCAGATCCTCTAGAACTCCACAGCTGCTATGTGGACACTGGGAACTGAACATGGGTCATCTGAAAGAGCAGCCAGTGCTTTTAACCACTGAGCTAACTCCCCAGCCCTGAGCTATAATGATTTTGTTTAGGAAGGTGAAATAGCTCATTAACATCAAAGACTTGGACAGAGGCTGGTGATGGCCGCAAGTGGTCCTAAAGATCCACTGTGAAGATTCTCAGTGATGGTCAGTGTGGGGTGCAGAAGTCCTTAAGCCTTTGAATCCTGTCTTCTGGGAGGACACAAGTTTGCAGGTAACAAAGTAACCCAGAAGACCAATGGTAGTTAGAAGTTCTATATATTATGATCAGAAGTTTGAAAATAAACTCCCTCTTGAATTTCCTGAAATGGAGATTCCTCTACCATCAAGAGAACTGAGATGAGGCTAAGGACAGTTTGGGGGAAAAAAAGAAGGCTTTTCTTGGAGATTACATGCTTTTTTAGCACTAGGAGAAATTTAGCCAACATGCATGTGAGTTTAGCATATTCTTAGTTTTAGGATATTGTAGTGTGTATGCTGCACAAGATAATATCCAAAGGAATGGAAATTTTAGAACTATTCTGATGAGTACTGGGATTTGTAACTTTCAAAAAAATCAAATGAATGCAGCCTCAGACAATGTTTCTAAATTACTACACCTGTGAAATGGTAACAAAATTCAAGTTATTTGTGAATTCCCTGTCATCGTTCGCATGGTTGATCAGTGTCTTGTATACCTCTTTGCTTT